GGGGGGGGGGGGGGGAGCCCTACAGAGTATGTGGGTGTATTTCATACAGCTTTAGAAGAAAAAACCTGCAATGCTTCATTTTCAAGAGTAAATACTTTATCAAAATTTACTTATGTAAATAGGAAAAAAAATCCATATAATGAACGTTCAGTCTATTTTCCAATAAAGGGCAAGTGCTTAGAGTTTCCAGCGTTCTCTCTTTTTCATTCTTTACATCACTGTGTCTTTGACAAATTAGCTTCTTTTCTTTTGAATAGCTGTTGCCAAATCCCAATGTAAAAATAGAAATGGCATTTATTCAACTCACCCCTACAGTTTTAATAAGTGACTTTAAAGCCTATTGAAAGGAGTGCAAAGATGTATTATTTGACAGTAGGGTTAAACATCTCTTCCTTCTTTTATTGAACCTTTTGGCATTAATATTGTCCAAGCTCAGCCACATTGCTATTCACACTGTGATGCTTCCTAATTACTGCACTAAAAGCTTTTGAAAGAAGTGGCGACTTTCCAAAGTCTTTCCGGATAGTTAACCCAAGGCTTCGGATCTGCATTTTGCTAACAGCAGCTTTGCACTCCAATTCAAGTAACTTTCCAAATTAGACAGATGATAAGGCCTCAGAAACTTCTGGTCGAAGAAAGAATCAGGAAATCCTAACACAGCAGCTGCAAAACCTTAGATGTACCTCGGCAACACTATCTTCTCATCCATATTGAAACGATACAAGATCACCTAGTTAACGGAGGTTACAGATTTTCAAACTCCTGAGCCAATACGCAGTGCCAAATTTAACACAAAAAGTCAAGGAACAAAAGGAGTTGAGATGAGGAAATGCTATCCTCTAATTTCTTCCCCAATGAGTTTGGGCAAACTAAAAATGTCTCTTGAGTAATTTCCCATCTGACCATTGCTTAGGGCTTCAGCAGCTTTGGAAGCCCAAGAGCAGAAGAAAAGAAAGAAGAAGATGAAGAGCAAAGAAATAATTTCATTCAAAACAAGTAACATGTGAAATAGGAAAGATGTACAGATCAGAAACAGTATGTTACCCAGGCAGCGGACCTCCATTTGTTAGTTCAAAGATTTGATGAGGATTCAACAGTTTTCGAAAACTGTACAGCAAATTTCGACCTTTAAGACCTCCACTTTTGGGATTCACAAATACAAGCAAAGGACAGCAGTTCTGAGGAAGCTTATTTTCCTAAAAAATGGAAGGAAAAGTGATTAAAAAATACAGCATTTGGAACCAGTAAGATAAACTTCCAAATTACACAATGACACTTAAGAAAGAAAGGGGGGAGGGGGGAAGGAAACCAAATGTTCCTAACAATCTCAGGGTACTTATTAAGAACTTCTCTTTTGAATGGTTTTAGGGAGGTGTTGGTCATGCATTTAAAAGGGCCAAAGATGAACAATACATTTGTGCAACATTTTCATTTTGATTATAAGAAGGGAAAGGAACTTCTACTCAAACAATTTCTCAAGTTGGTTTAAGTTTATTTGTTCAATGAACATAATGATGACAAACATTACACATGGTAATTCTGCCTTTTATAAACATACAAATGTATGTTAGTCTAAAAGACATTCTGTGCTGTAACATCTGTAAATCCTATTCTTTTTTCTACTGGCTTTAGCATTAAGAACCATTCAAATGGAAGTAAGAGCTATTCAACAATTTAACAAGTTCAACTCATTTAAACGTTTAAACTGCTTCACAAGGATTTCCCCAGCAATATATTGCAATCTTACACCAAAAATCAAATAGAACACCATTGCATGCAACAAAGTATCCTGATCATACCACTGCTTATGCCCCAGTGAGGTGGCAACACCTAACCAACCTTGGGTAACTTTAAAAAGCCAACCAGGATTGGATAAGGTTAGTAACTACACAGAAGAACGCTGTGAATTCCCAAGGCTGGAGGCGAGACAGGGAAGTAAAATAAATATCTCAGAAAAAGATAATGGCAAATGTCCTTCATAGTGTTGCCAAGAAACTGTATGGTCATGTCTATGAAATCATCAGGAGCTGAGCCCCACTCAAAGGAAGTTTTGTTTTTGTTGCTTACACCTAACTTCCAGTAAGGATGAGCATGACTGATTGTCCCAGACCAATAAAACACAAATATAAAACTTAAAAGTACTTGGTATGGCAAGCCTGAAACTATTAGTAATAAAAAGGATACCAACTGACTTCTGCAAGCCATAGCTATCGCTAAGAACCCAGTAACTTTAATGCACTGAGTTAACCACAGTAAAATACCTGGAAGAGCAGCTGGTAGCCATGGCCAAGAAGGTCTTTGTGCACATGTATCTTGCACACCAACTGTGTCCCTGCTTAGATTGGGAGGCTTTGTTCACAATCGCTTGTACCCTGGTCACCTCCAGTTTGGACTACTGCAGCATGCTGTATGTGGAGCTACCTTTGAAAGCTACCCAGCTGTCATTGGTCCAGAATGCAGCAACATGAGTAGTTATGAGCACCTCAGTGCACTCATGTAACACCACTATTTTGGGAGCTGTGTTGGCTCATCGATGCAGTTCAAGTTGCTGATTATCACCTATAAAGCCCTTCAGGGCACAGGGCCAGGTTATTTGCAGGACTGCTCATCTCCAATTGTCTCTATGAGATCTGGCAGAAACAATGACACCTGGTGGGACCTGGTGGTGTTTTCTCTGTCACAGCACCTGCTTTATGGAACATTATTCCCTCTGAGGTTCAAATGGTCCTGACCCTTCTGGCCCTCCATAAAGCCCTGAAAATATGGCTCTTCCCCTGGGCACTGAGCCAGAGAGTGAGATGAACCCATCCAGAATGAAAGCGTTCTGAATGGTCTATACAGTGGCTGGTCTCAATTATTCTGTTAGAGTTTTATTTTGTTATTTTATTATTCTCTTTCCAGATCTAGGTGTCAGTTGCACTGTCTTTATTTCTTTGTTTTTTATGCTTCTATCCAACTGTAAGCCACCCAGAGTTGCTTTTGCAAGCTGGACATCCATATAAATCAAACTAACATAAAACAAACAAATATATATTGAACCATCTCTGCTACATGCACTCCATATTGAACAAATCTTATTTTGCAACCTGAATCAAAGGTAAGGCATTGATTGTTCTAGGCAGCTGCTTAAACACAGGAACAGTTTGCCTTTATCCCCAAAGACTATTTTTCGTTGGCTTAGGCAAAATGGAAAACAGCGGTGATGAGCAGTTTATTATAGAGAGAATGAATGGATTAATATTGTCAACACGGATCATTCTTTTCCTCCTGCAGCTCTAATTACATCTGGCTCTGGTAGAGGTTTCTTTCTGATACCATGATTTATACTGATCACGGGTCTGAGCTTCCAAATGAAAAGATAAACTATGATGTAGAGTAGCTTCTATTTCTTAACTTCCTATCAATTCAACACTCCAGCCTTTAGGTGGAGGTCCTTTCAGAGACAGAGAATCAGTGCTCATTATGGTTTATTCTACTTTAACAGTCAATCACAAGAACCAATTACTTACCTACAATGGAATTCTTTGAGTGGACTTCTGTGAATTCACCAGTGGGTTTCTGACTTGTGCAAAGTCCATTCAGAATCTGCTATAGTGTATGGCATGTCTTGCCTGGAGTCTTGTCCTCCATTCATACCATGAATGATTAGCTGTATCTCATGCTAAATCCCCTTAATTCCTGAGACCAACATAGCAGATCCTGAACGGAATACTGAAGTCACCCAGCACCAGGCAGGGAAGAAGGGAAGTATGTATGAATACACAAATTACTGCTCTAAGAACTTCAGTTACAGGCAGGTAACCAGTTCTTCATTCTGTTCTGTATTTCATACAATGGGTGAGTAGCTAAGCTTATTACCTGGAGGAGGGACCAGTTCTCATAAGGTGAGCTAAGAAAGGATTGCTGTTCCAAAGGCTGCTTCCCTCTGAGAATGGAGGCCCAGGTGATAATGCTGAACAAATGTGGAAGGTGGGCCCCCAAACAGCTGTCCAGCATCATTTGGGTGGAGGAATTCCATGTAGAAAGGCAGCCCTTATAAAGTGGTCCTGGATTCCAAGATTACAACAGCCTATTGCATGATCTTTCCTAAGGCACAAAAACCTAAGACCATGTTTCTCCAAGAGGAGATATTTACTACCACTATGCTCACACTTGCAGAACAGTGGAGCCAAATGGCAAAAGGATGATGACTTGTATTCTAAAATAAGGAAAGGACTCCAAAATACAGGGAGTCTCACTTAATAACCACTCATTCAGTGACCGTTCAAATTTACAACAGCACTGAATAAATGGTACTTACCACCAGTCCTTGAAGTTCCGGCCATTGCAGCACCCCCACGGTCACATGATCACAATTCAGGCACTTGGTAATCGGCCTGGATTTCTAACCATCACAGCATCCCAGAGTCATGTGATCGTGATTTGCGACCTTCCCTGCTGGCTTCCCACATGCAAAGCTGGCAGGAAGTTGGAAGTCGCGGTCACATGAGGTTCTTGCTTAATGACCCACAGTGATTCACTTAATGATGGCAACCAGGGTCTGCCAGAACTGATGTCGCTAAACAGTGCAGTCACGTAACATCACATTTTATGAACACGTTGCTTAGCAATGGAAATTCCAGTCCCAATTACCATAGTTAAGTGAGGACTACCTGTAACAGATGAACTATGAGAATGAAAGTGCTATTGCTGTGGTGGTATAAAATTAATTGAGGGGAGATCAGCAGAAGTCATGGTTCACACAGAGTGGAAAGCGTGTGTAAGCTCTTCTGAACAGCCTCTTCACTGGCATACAGCCCATGTCCAAATCACAAAGACCACAATGGAGAATGATAGTTGCTTTTTTGGTTACCCTTTATTATTTCAATGTGTTCTCATTTTATTTTATTATCTTGTGGACATCTCGGCTGTAGATATTCTTATGGGTCTGAGACTGAATATGGCTATTCAGTTAGGTTTTGCTCTAAAGCCTGTCTGGTGGCTGAGAATTCTGGAAGCTGCAGCCCCAACATCTGAAGGATTCCATGTTGGGAAAGTCACACCCTTCGATAGTAGATAGTAGTAACAGGGCCTGTACAAGACATTTATTAAACTTTGGGAATTATCTGAGCCTCTTTCTAATGCAGATCAAATCTCTGGGGTTTTCTGAAAGGACAATGTGTACCACATCTTCCCTTCCCTTCATCTCTCCTCCCATCTTCATGTAAAAAGTCAAGGGCAATTCAGCATTGGGACCAAATTGTTAGGCTCCAATAGCAAGGAGCAGGGAGGCCAAAAATGTCATCTGTAGCGGTAATGGCAATTTCTGCCCCATTTTTGGAGAAGTGGACCAGAAAGGAGTGGATGATAAGGCTCTCCCCACCACTGGGGAGGCATTGGGCAGAGATTGGGGTTACACTATACTAAACTTCAGGGGTCTCCCCAAAGTACTGAACAGAGATTTGGAGGGTGGGTCCAGCCACCTAATCCTTCTCCATTGCACAACAGCAGCGCCCCTCACCTGCACACCCTTACATAGGATTATGAATCTTCCATGACAGCCATGTGGAATTTAATTTACAAAGACCCCTACAAGTCTTTGTGAGCAAGCTCCTTGTTAACAAACTGGCAGCAACCCCTGCCTTTATACTTATTTTATTTTTGTAGTAAATACAAATGCACAAAGGATTGGAAGAACCCACAGGCTTACAACAAACTATTTCAATAAGAAATATTACTAATCTGATTTGTACTTTTCTTAAATGATAATGTACTAGAATAACTCTCTCTTTTTATTGTGGGATACTTGGCAAGGCTACTCTTTCATCTATTTTGTTCCATGTTTTACAGTAGAAAACTGTGGCCAATTTCAAACAATTACTGTATGGCTGTGTAAATCTGGCTTCATAAGTACAATAAACCTGCATTGTTCCCTTTTCCCCTCCTCTGGCAAAGCTGGAAGAAGACTGGAAGTTTCCACTTCTATTTTAGATTAACCACAAGTTTCCACACAGTTTGTGATTCAACGTAATTATGGTTACTTGAAACAAAGCAGCTTCACAATCCACAGTGCTGACGTGTTTCTACTACCATAGTTCAGATCAATCACAGGTTTTTTCCTCATTTTTGGATGGCACAGCAAGCTCTCATTAATCTAAAGTGGAACCAAACATTTCTGAACTTCTTGCAACTAATCTGGAGAAAAAGGGGAACAGTG